AACGTAAAATTAAGGGAAAAGAAATTTGACAGACTATCTCACCATCGAAAATCATATTAGATATACATGAAATAATTCCTATAATCTCAGTCGTTTGTTGTAGTCGGCTGTAAGTTAAAAGGCTTTATGCATTTCAGTCATTAACAACATGATACTTAGCACTGGCGGACGGAAGGGGGGGCGTGTAGGGTCAATTGACCCCCTAGTCTTAAGGGTTTTTTATTTTTTTAATAAATAAATTAGTAGGTCAAAAATCAAAATAGTCAAAACTCAAACAAATCCTTCCCTGCTTCAACCGTATCTCTCTCTCTCAACTCCCGTCTTCCGCTGCCTCGCACAAACGGCGCTGACTCCCACCATTGAAGCACAGCACAGAGCAGTGAGAGCTCACCCACAGCCACCGGCCACCGCTCCGTCCCCGCCTCTGTTTGTGCCTGACCTGACTGCCTCCACCTGGAACGCCTCCGGCCTCTATGCGACTGCGGCAACAGCAACAGCCGACGCCAGTCACGCCAGTGCCGGCGACCCATCACTACTGACTTGAAGGTTAGAAGCTTTACACTTACAGACTTATCACTTACTCAAATTTTTTCTTTGAATTCTTCTCCATAAGTGACAATAACCGTAACTGCTGCCTGCCTGCCTCTATGTGTCATGTGTGGTTAGTTCCTATTTCTAAATTTGGATTTATTTACAGTTCAATCAATCAATTATGATTCATGTTCCTGCCCAATAAATGTAATTAAGGGATTTCTGATTTAGGGCTTTGATTTAGGAAATTGACCCTTTTCCAGTTTTCTGATTTAGGGCTTTGTTACTTATTTATATGTAAATTGATTATTGATAATATTGATTTGGGAAAATTGAAATTTTGTCCGACTTTTGGTAGGTAGGAAATAGTATAAACTGATTTAGGCATTTCTAATCTTGTTGATTTTTCATTTTTGGTTGGTTTGTTTCAGTTATGGAAAAATACTTTAAACGTACTTCTACGATTTCCTGTGATGAACAAATTATCGGTGAAAGGAATGTTCGAAAGAAAAGGGATGAAAACGATGTTGGGGATGTTGATGTTGATGTTGGGGGTATTGGAGACATTGGAGATGTTGATGTTGGATTTGGGGGTATTGGAGACATTGGAAATGTTGAGGATATTGGAGATGTTGGGGATAGTGGAGGAAATGTTGAGGATATTGGAGATGTTGGACATGTTGGGGATGTTGATGTTGCACAGCTTCCCTCTGGTCCTGGATTGAGAGTTCCAATACAGAATTATGATGTTAATATTCGAGATATGATTCTAAGAGCATATATGCAAAGAGGTCCTTGTCAGCCTCGCAATCATATATTTCCACCCACAAGAATAGGTAAAATAGACCGACGATTTTGTGTTTCGTGGTATAATGAGCATCCCACTTGGTTGGAATACAGTATAGCAAAGGATGCAGTTTTTTACTTTTATTGTTATCTTTTCGGTTTGAATGATGGTTCATTTGTTAAAGGCGGATTTTCAAATTGGACAAAGAAAGAATATATAAGAAAACATATTGGGGCTTCAAGTAGTGCACACAATCAAGCTCGGGTCAAATATGAATTGTTCAACAATTAAGAACAAAGTATTCGATCTTGTCTCGTTAAACAATCGCATCAAGCTCAAACAAATTATCGAATCCGATTAAATGCTTCAATTGATTGTGTTCGATTTCTTCTACGACAAGGGATGGCATTTCGTGGACATGATGAATCTGAAGATTCAAACAATCAAGGAAACTTTCTTGAACTGTTGCATTGGTTGTGTGATCATAATCCTGAGATTAAGGCCGTTGCTTTGACAAATGCACCTGAAAATTTGAAATTAACATCACCAAGAGTGCAAAAATATATTGTAAGTGTTATTGCTTCTGAATGTCTACATATGATTATCGAAAATATTCGTGATAGTTTCTTCTCAATTTTAGTTGATGAATCTCGAGATATTTCTGTGAAAGAGCAAATGTCAGTTGTCATTCGTTATGTGAAGAATGGGTGCATATTGGAACATTTTATTGGTGTCATTCATGTTTTGAATACCATAGCTGCCTCACTTAAGGCTGCAATTGATCAATTATTCTCAACGCATAATTTAAGCATATCTAATTTGAGAGGCCAGGGATATGATGGAGCTAGTAACATGCGAGGTGAGTATAATGGCCTCAAAGCACTTATTTTGAAAGAAAATCCAAGTGCTTACTATATTCATTGCTTTGCTCATCAACTTCAATTAGCTCTTGTAGCCGTGGCACAGAAACATCCGAAGATTGAAACTTTCTTCACTACAGTACATAGATTGGTGAATATTGTTGGAGGATCAGCTAAACGGAGTGATCTTATTCGAGAGAATCAAAGATTGAAAATTCTTGAATTACTCAGTATTGGTGAAATATCAAGCGGACGAGGTCTCAATCAAGAAATTACTCTTCAACGTCCTGGGGATACACGTTGGGGCTCTCACTATAAAATTTGCATCATTTTCGTGTGGAAATGTTTTATGCCGTCATTGATATGCAACTTCAAGAGTTGAATGATCGTTTTTCTGAAGCAAATAATGACTTGCTTATTTGTGTTGCATGTTTATCTCCAAATAATTCATTTGCTGCTTTTGACAAGATTAAATTGATTCGACTATGTCAGTATTATCCTGTAGATTTTGACGCAGCAAATATCCTAGAACTTGATGATCAACTAGATACGTATATTATTGATATGTGCACTTCTGAAGACTTTGAAGAATTACAAGGCATTAGCGATCTTGCACAGAAGTTTGTTGTGAAGAATAAACATGAAGTGTATCCATTAGTCTACAAACTTGTGACACTAACCTTAGTTCTTCCCGTGGCTACTACTACAGTCGAGAGAGCATTTTCTGTGATGACTTACGTCAAAAATCGTCTGCGCAATCGAATTGGAGATCAATGGTTGAATGATAGTTTGATTGCATATATTGAGAAATATGTTTTTGATTAGATTGAAAATGATGTAATTATTGAACGTTATCAAAGTATGAGAGCACGTAGAGAGCAATTGTAATAAGATATATCTTATTTTAATTTTTTCATCACTTTTTTAAAAGTTCGTTACTGACCCCCTAGTCTAAAATGTCTGCGTCCGCCCCTGATACTCAGGAACATGTATCAGTGAAAAGGGATACGAACTTGGTTTCTAACAAAGCTGAGCCTCAGTTATAAAAAAATCGAACCTTAAACCAATTCTATCAATCAATTCGTCACAAAAAGTGCGTTAATTCATAATATTTGAATCTCGTATTATCTAAAAAATAGTAATCGAAGCAATCTACAAAAACAAGCCGAAATTATATGTATAAATCGAAAAATTTAAAGAGGCGCTTGTATTAGTTTGCGGAAGACAGCGAGTTCGAACCTTGTTGCGACAGCCGATAAGGCTCCTCCCGTGTGGTGGCGCTAATCGAGAAAATGAAGATGCAGCAAGGGTTCACGTTGTTATACTTGAGGTCGGGCTTGGGTACTAAAATATTGGGAGATTTTTTATTCCTTTCAAATTTATTCATAAAAAAGTTTATGAGCCTGTTTGAGCCACATTATAATGAGAATGAAAATGAGAAATAGAGCCGTTATGGGTTCCACACTAGAGATAGAAATTCAAAAATAGTGGCTTGATGTGATGGATAACGGTCATATTTTTCATTTTAATGAGGTAAAAATGTTACTCAAACAGGGGCTATATTGTCCTTAATAAAATGATTCTTCTTATAGTGTAATATATATCCCGATTTTTTAAACTATTTTTATCTTATATTTATTCTATTTTGAATTTTAGCATATAGGTTCATTCTATGATCTAATATATTTGAATATCTTTAACATGCTGTTCATATTTTTTTATTAAGTATATTATATTTTTTAGAAAATACATTTATATTTTTTAATTAAGAAATAATATTTTTTATTTCTTCTAACATTATTTCTAATAAATTATCTAATCCTTTAATTGTATACCCTAGCATTCAGTCATAAATAATTCCTAAGATTTTCTAAGATCTTAAAAAGATTCGTTCTAATTTTAGTAAAAATTAATAGTCTTCCCTTAGTTTTAATCTGGACATTTATTTTTAAAATTGAGTAACTTTCGAGCTCTAAATATGTAAACTGCTTCCTTCAACGACTTCTTCGCCTTCATGTAATCTTTACTATTTCAACTTTTTGCTCTCACTGTATCATTTTTAAGGAATAAATTTCTAAACTTCGATTAAAGAAAAACTCTGTTTTTGCTAAAATAAGAAAAAAACTTTGTATTAAATCCTTCAAGAATCTATGGGGATAAAGATTTTAAAACTCATATTGATATCAAAATATTGAAATTTTATTTTCATAAAAATTTGTACAAAACTTCTATTTGGTACAAAAGGGTTTCTAGAAAAACTGGTTTTGAACTGATAGCTTGAGAATAGATAATAATTCTCAACTACAACTTGAGATATCCCATTTCTTTCCTAATACCTCTATTTATACATACATATGGAGCTCTATTATTAATCTATTTATATCATTGTGTGACATCAACAATATCAAAAGGCACCCTTACCATTCTGTTATTGTCCTTCTTGGACCTACAACTTCACATGCACCTTCTGCTTTTTATCAAAGGAGCATCTCCCTTTCTATTATTGTCCTTTTATCTGTGTCTTTACATGCAGCTAGAAAAATCTCTTAGCTGGCAAGATTTCTAGATAGTGGTGGGACATCTTGAAAATTGATGTATATTGAATTTTATGATATAGCCTTTCAAGATTTCTGATTTTTTATGTCCTTCATTTGTAACTAGCATCCAATTTTCATATTGATGAAAACATGAGAATTTTTTATCATACAAATTTTTGGCAATATTGTACATAGCTTTGATTCCAAGTGCTTTTCTATGCTTGATCCATGACTTTGTTACCAGTGGAGCTTTTCTATCATTCTCCATTACATCTATTTGAAAATTGGCTGCTACATACCCAATTGTTATTATATGTTCAACTAAATAATAAACAATTCCATCATATTCATAACTTATTGAATAAGCTTTTAGATATATTTTTCGTTCTTTGGCAAATTTTGCTACTTCCAGCTGTCCCTATTTGGTATTGATTTGGAAAACTCATTTCTCAACTCTTTGGTATATCTGTCTTAGACATTATATTTTTTAGTTGTGTTACAATAGCATCAACTTAATTTCTAAATTCTATGGTTTCTTTATGTTACTTAATAGTGATATTCAACGATATTTTTAATTTGAGTTGAAAATCTTTGAGATATGTGTTGCTCCAATATTTATGTCTTCAGTTTCTTCTATAAGAAAATCTATCTTTTTTGTATATGTAAGATAGATTTATATAAATCCATGACCTTGACTTTATCCATTAGCAAATTATATGTTTCTGTTAAGAAAATTTGCAAGAAAATTATTGACTCTTTTAATATGAATTATATCAAAACTATGAAATGCTAAATAAGCTTGTTATCTATGAAGCCTTCTGTATTGAGGTTCTGATGGTAATTTATTTCTAACTAGTC